GCAGTAAGAATTGGCGACTTGTAGTCTCAGAACTTGCAAGATGTCACGGTGTTTTTTCACAATCGTCAACAAATCACATGAGTAAATATTCCCAGGGAAAATTTAGGATTTAAATTCAATAGAAAATGGTATTTTAAAAAATTGTATATGGAAACAAATTACATCCCTATGTCTACTGACTGAGATGTGACATTTTTCTAAGAAAACGTTTTCTAAGACATATTTATTTTTATTGTTCCCCTTGACGTTTCCTCTGAAATTTCTTTTCAACTCCTGTACATTCAAGTAGTCCTTATATAAGGCCAAAATGTCAGAACAAGAGATTTAATATGGATTGCATATTAAACAGCTTATTTACATGATTCTGGTGTAGACATCCAGAAGCATTCAGCTAGGTGTTATGCAGAATAATTCAGAGTATGGGTTACAACACTTGGTTCTAAACAGCAATACACAGTGCTGGCTTTGGCAGCACATATACTAAATAGCAATACACATGCTAGGTTGCCCAGTTAAACACTGAGGTCATTCAGCCCAAGAATAACGTTTTGTTGCATATGTGCCTTCCGCAGTAGTGCTCAGCTCACAGTAACTGCTTCAGAATAAATTCCTACTTGGCCACACTACAGTCAAGAAATACACCAAATACTTATGGTTTTTCCCATATGTCTACTGAAGTTTGACTTCCTAACCATACTTTTCTAAATGTACACTCCAGAAGCAATGTGTTTGAGCAATGTATAGTAAATGTCTATTGGCCTGAACCCAAACAAGCAAAAACTCTAAACTAAAACCTGGTGTGGTACTTTCACATTCTGCATTCTACTTTTATGAGAAATAACAACTAAATAATAAGTCATCTTGCATTAAGTAACTTTAGAACCATATGGGCAGCCAGCTCAATTTCCTGTACTGTCTACATCTACAGAAGCATAGAGTAAAAATAGAAGCTACTGTGATGCCCGAAGGTGCTGAAGAATTTTGAGAAGGTAAAAGGTCAAAGAAAAAGTACACAAAACATGTCTATTTGCTATACATTAACTACCTGGAAATGCATCATCTTTATCCAAGGTAAACCAAATATTCTTTAATATGAATATTCATTTCTCCAAGCCCCATGCACAAATACAAGTCCTAGATGATCTTTTATTTCACTTTTGTAATTTTGTTCTTGGAGTAAAAAAATAAATGTACCCTTCAGACATCCTTTATTTACTACTGATGCTGGAAATGTCTGTTTCTAGTCACACTACCCAGTTCCATTTGGAATGTTTTGTATCAATTATCCTCATTAGCAGATGATCTTCCTCTTTTCATTCTGACATCTGCTAGGGGGAGCAGCCTGGGGAGAAACCTATCAATTTCTTCAAAGGCGCCTTCTCCTTTGCTAACAAGGAACCATCCGAAGGGCAACAGGACTTCACGGGATGACCTAGTGCCTCCTTAGGCACAGCTCCACTTGCTGGCATGGTCCACAATGTTCTGCCCATCTTAGCAATGACTCAGAAAGGCTACGCAGGCACACTGACATGGTAACTTTCTTCCTTGGTAACTTTGCCACCTGGACATCAATTTTATGTAGGCTTCTCCTGTGCATCATCCTTAATGCTCCTTGATTTACAACTCAAAAAAGTTTTAGGAATTCAAAAATTAACAAATCTAAATTGAAGTGGAAGTGCATTCCCAATCAAATGAATGCATGACTGAGGGCCAGCAGGAGTTCCGGTGTAATGGTAAAACACCCTTACTGCAGGACTCAGATGAACAGAAAGCCCTTTCCAACAGAAGACAGGGCAATATATGTCTCTCCGGGGAAAAACTAATAAAAACTAGAAATTCCTGGTTATTTTTGTAAAGAAATGAAAATGATATTCAAGTGGGAAAAGATAAACAAAAAAGAACACATATGCAAAACACAAAATGAGGTATAACTCACTCTTCAAAAACAGAACTTTTATTAACTAATTTTCGAGAAGAGCCTTCCAGCCCTTTACTGTACAGATCAGTATCTGCTCCTCCGTGTTTAAAGAAATGTGCTCGATCAGCAGTTTCTGCGTGAGGCTCATCAACTGCGGTCCATGAAGTATTTTCTTTTGTTCTACCCAGCTTGCCTATGGCAGGGTAATAAATACTATTCCACTCTAAAAAAGAAGGGAAGAACAGTTTGCCAAAATATTTTCCTTGTCTGAATCAGTGCATTATTTCACATCTTTGCAAATCAACCTCTTGCACTTCTTGCATTGCACTGCCAAAACAACTAGGAGCGAAACAGGGGAAAGAATATTATCACACACCGCATTCACTGGTTAACAGAAAAGTCATCTAGTGCCTCCTCTCCTACCAAGCCTTGCACGCCAATGGATCCCAGTCTGAGCGTCTCACCGAGAGGGAGCAGAGCATCAGGGATGTGTCCCCCTGCCAGGCCACGCAGCAGTGCAGCTGCAGTCGTTAGGGGTGAGGATATGGGCTCTCCCAAGGAAACAGCACAGCGCAGAGGTGAGGCTGACTTTATTAAGTTAACACTTGACTTCACGCTGAGCTCTTAGAAAGCAAGTATCTTCAATTGATCATCACTTGGTTTTTCTCTCTCTATCACTGTCCATAGGTAGACAGGACACCAGTACCATGTGTTTGCCTTGCTGCCTCTGGGTTGGCAGGTGGCTGTGACCCAAGGCCGACAGCTCGCCACCAGGTCTGCCTGCTCAGCCTGACATCCTGGTCCCACAGCGCCATCCTGACTCCAGTGCTGCCCTCTGGCCCAAAAGGAGCAAGAGCTCAGTTCAGGGCAGCGCCCTGTCCACTGGCGGAGAGACCACCCCTTGCTCGAAGCCTGGAAGTCACCAGGTGTCCGCGTTCATGCCCAACACTGGGCAGGTATTTTTACATTGGTTCCCAGCTTTCAGATTTGGAACTACTTTCTTCTAGGAACCAAGGTGCTGCATGCCAGGGTGGTAGATACAAGGAAACTAAAGACAAGGGTACAGGTCATGCAAGGGAAAGCTGAAGAAGTATGAAGGCAGGAAGAGGGGAAAAGAGGAAACAAAATGTGAGCAGAGCTGGAGTTTCTGAACAAGGGACAAACACGCAAGGAGGCCCCAGGGGCCTGCCTCGCGGACACTGCTGCCCAGGCCAGCACGCCACAGGGTTCACGCCAGAGGTGTGCACGTCCCCACAGGGCTTCTCCCACCTGCTCTCTCCATGCATTTGCTGAAACTCATTCACAGGGCAGCCACCACTCATGCTGTCTCATGGCTTGCAGCAAAACCAAGCTCATAGCAGGCTAAAGAAAGTATTTCAAAAAGACTTAAAATGTGCCCTGATTGTTCTCAGTCTTCTTAGTAAAGATCTTCTTCTCTCTCAAGAGAAATATTTTCTTCTGTCCTTCAAGGATAATGAAAAGCTACTCACCCAACACAAAATAGGATTTTGAAAATTCTGAAGAACTTTGAAAAACATAAATGATAATATTTTAGTGTAAGTCTGAAGGCTGTAATCCTGAGGTCCCTTCCATGCACGCAGCTGGGATGCAATGTCAGCAACCCCACCTGTGTCTGAACCTCTCCCTGTGCCTGGGGAAGAGTACAGCTCAGGCCACACATCGGGAAGGTTTAGTCAAACACAGGCCCTACCAGGATGCACCACCAGGCCTCGCTGACTTCATGGCCAACAGGAATAAGCGTAAGTGAAAAGATGTAGAGCTTCCATTTTTCCAAGTGTTTCCTTCAGGATTATCCAATTCTCAAGACCAGAGCAGGGGAGATAAGGCAGTTCTTACTAAACTAAACGTATTTCACAAATGAAGACTCCAAGGCCCAAGAATATATGGCTGTGCCGCAGCCACATGGCTGTTTAGGGACAAAGAAACGATGTCCACACCGGGCCCCTCAGGCCTACCTCAGCGACCTGCCACCCTGGGCCCTCAGACTCATCATACCACACGTCACACATCAAGAGATACCTGCCCCGAGTCCAACAGCTTATCAATAAAGACCAGCGAACCAGTTTTCCACCCTAATGAGAAAATTAATAATTAAAAACATATTCTGCTCAAAATTTTAAATTGCAGTGCCAAGGCAGTTGCGATTCACAAAACTACGGGTATTATAAAGAACAGGAAACCCACATCCACCATCCTGACTTATCCAACTCATTGTCTTTAGGATGCAGTCGCTTTGGGATGTGTCCTTCTAAGGCACACATGACAGGGAAGACGGGCTTTCTTCCCCAGCTCAAGCCTCAGTTCGTGCATTCCTGTTTGATGGCAATGGAAGCATCCACAAGCGTCCATTCCCAAGTTACTGGGCACGCTGAGTCTGCACGGGGTCTGCAATGCCTCGGGGTCCACACAATTAGGCTCCACTCCCAAAGGAGGGTGTTTCCCAGGCTCCTGCTGCTGTCCGCACCCTGCGCTCTGGGCACTGCTCGCAGCCCCAGGGTCCCTGTGGATTTCTCGCAGGAGCCTCCGCCACCCACGACTCCACTCGGACGGCGCCACTGCCTCAGGGAAGCCCGCACCCTGGGGCTCCGAGGGAGTCCCTCGTCTGGGGTCAAGTTGCCCGTGCGGGCGGAGGCGGAGGCACAGGGCGGGACCCCGCTCCCGCTCCCGATCCCGATCCCGGGATCCACATCCTCGCCCCTCTGCCCCACCGATCCACTGCGATCCACTGCGCAGACCCAGCCGTGGAGGCGCCGGCGACGCCCGGCCTGGGCAGCTCGGAGACGGTGCGGTATGGCCGACTCGGACACCCGCGTCCCTGCGCCCCTGCGCCCCTGCACCCGGAAAGCTTGCATCCTGGCCCTGGCCCCTTCCCCACGCTGGGCGGTCTGAGCGGCGGGAGCGGTCCCCGCGCGCCCCCGGGGCCACTGCTGGCCACCGCGGCCGCCCGCATCCGCGAGCCCCGCAGCCCCCGCCCGCGCTGGGCCGAACGCGGAGCTGGTGCGAGGGGTCGCGATGGCGCGGACCCTCCCGAGCCTCCCAGCCGCATCCCCGGCCCGCTCACCTGCTGAGTGCCCTGCGCAGCCGCTGGCGCACCCCGGCGCGCGGGGACGCGGACAGGCCGCGCTCGGCCGGCAGCGGCTCGATCGTGGTCACCACGGGGCCCGGCGCGGCGGGCGGCTCGGGCGGCGACATCGCGGCACTCACTGCGCGGCCGGACGCATGGTCGCCTCCGGGGGGGGGCGGGGCGGCACGGACGGCTCCCGCGGTCCCTCGGTTGGTCGCTCGCTCGCGCGGCTCCTCCTCGCCCTGCGCTCCCGGCCCGGCTGCGCCCGCCAGGCGGTGGTGGTGGCGGCGGCGGAGGAGGAGGAGGAGCCCGGCCCCGCCTTCCTCTCCAGGCGCCGTCCCCGTCCCCAGAGTCGGACCCGGAGCGAACCGAGCGGGCGGGGACCGGAGAGGGGGTGCGCGCCTCCGCTGGGGGGCGCTGCGGAGCCGAGCCCAAGGCTGAGCCTGACCGAGCGCCCCGAGCCAGGTCTGGATGAGCCTGGGGAGCGGGGGACCTGCGCTCCGCTCTGCCAGGGGGCGCTGCGGAGATCGCGGCCCCGACCCCTCAGTCCTGATCCACGTCCCCGAACCCTGACCGGGAATGAACCTGACGGCGGGCAGGGGTTGCTGGGAGGATTCCGCCCCGACCCGGGTCTCCGTCCGGGCACCCACCCCGGCAGGGCTCGGGTCCGGGGTCGCAGGCGGCTGAGCACGCGCTCCCTCCGGGGCTGCGCTGCGGGGACCCTCGCTCCGGCCGGTGACCCGGACACCACACCTGTACCGTGGCGCGGCCGGGACCAAGGAGGACGGACCGCCGCTCGCCGAGGGGAAACGCAGGCCACCGCTCTCCGGGCCAGGCACTTGCGCTGGGGCAGCAGGGCAAGCAGGTCCGTGCCCGGCGCGAGGACACTTCTCACGGGGACCCCATGCCGGCCTGGACACCGAGAGACCGCTTCTCTCGCAGCCCGGCTGCTTGTGCCTTCGACCCGGGATGAGACCCAGGGGTTCAGTACCCGCCGCGGGAGGGCCCGGGGGCTCCGGGGTCCTCCGTCCGCGGAAAGAGGCCTGGACCTGGCAGGGCCACACCTATGCCGAGGGAAGCCCACTGCCTGGTAGGTCTATCTTACTGAGATCTAAAATGTTGCCACTTCCCTGCAGAACAAAGGGGCAAACAACGGCTCCGAGCGGGTTTAACAGGTACATTTGTTCACACAAACGCATGCAGGTACCACCGCTGGCTCCAAGTGCTCTGGAAAACAGCAAATAAGAACTCCTGGTCACAGGACTCGCGGAAGGAGGAGGTGTGGGGCAGCAAATAACATCCCGAGAAGGCACCAAATCTCAATGGAGAGGCAAGAGTGAAGTGGCAGAGAAGCACGAGATTCCTTGCTTGGTTAACCAGGAAGGTCAACAAGTTCTCTTTTTAACAGGAAAAATCAGGTGAAGGGGCAGCCACAAACCCTGGCTACTGCCCGAAATGTCCCTAAATTCCTCTTCTACAAATGTATTCCCAAATTAGAACATTTCATTTTCATAACCAACACGATGTCCCATTCTTTCTAAAAGACCTCTCATGCTGGAATTTTCCCAGCCGGGATGTCCACAGGATACGCTGAAGAGCTGTACTCAGACAGAGGCTCTTCACCTTGTCACCCTAAAACTCCACGAGACAGCCTGCCCTCGGGCGACCAAGTACAGATGGAGCAGGCCGGCTTCGCTCAACCTGGCTCTTGGCCACCTCTGAGGCCTGCCTGGAGTGGGCCTTGCTCAGAGCCCTGGTCCTTCACACTCACCTTCCTCCTCTGAGGGTTTTGTCACCACTCCATGCTGTGTCTGCGTTTCAGTGTCTGCATTGTATCTGGCCATCTCTCTAGAGAGAATACTGAATCCAAATGATCTAAATCTGCCCTGAGTCAGGCAGGGAGGAAGCAGAGATGGAGAATTTCACTCTTGCTGGTAAGAAAAGACCTCAGAGCACCTCAAGCATATGCTTTACTCATCCATATGCAGGAGGTGCAGCATCAGATCCCCTTCTTCCTCCACTGTTCCACACTCATCTTCCAAGTGCTGATTGGACTCCAGAGACAAGCAGGAGGGGTCCAGATTGCAGAGATAACCCGAGCTGGTCCGACACGGAGTCAAACAGCAGAGTGCAGGGAGGCCTGTTTCCCCCCTTCCTGCTCTGAGTCTTGTCTCCTTGGCCCAAATCCGTCCTCCATGACCTCTTATCCAAAGGAGGAGAACAAAGACAAAGGTTGAGGATGTGCATGGCGTGTGGGCCCTGGGCCCTGCTGCTCAGCCTCCAGCTCCCTGCCCATTGCATTTGGGGCCTGGCGCCCTCACAACTGTCGCCTTCCGCAAGGCTCCTCCGCTTGCCCTGTTAACCACTGAGTGTCTCTCAGGACGCACACAAGTTCTGCTGAATTCCTTAGGCTACACCCTGCTTCGAATGGCTCTTGCAGACATTCCTCTCTTGTAGGGAAGGGGGGAGTTGAGCCTCAGTTTCAGACCTCAGCATCACCAAGCATTTTGACTATTTTGTTTAGTGCAGACCCCACCTGTGCATGATGTTGGGCGAGCTTTGAAGCATGGCCCAAAGTACTCTGGAATCACGTGTGTTGCTGCAGATGCCCAGGTCCCTGCACCTTGCCTGTCCCACCCTCCTGACATCTTCTTCCTGGCCTGAGCCTGACTGAATCTGCTCCGCACATAGTAATAACCACACAACATCTGGAATGACAGCTTCAGGGCTCTGAGTCAGAGAAGTAAACTCATCTAGGAGATAGGAAAGCTAAGCAACAGAGGCAAGAAACTTGTGAGGAAGAGGAAAAGAAGAGGAATCGAGTGAGTAGGTTTTCACATCTGCATCCAAGAAATGGACCAAATAATTAGGGTATCAAAGCACAAAACCAGGGAACCCTTGTCCTCAAGAAGGCGGTCCGTAAATGGTACCAGAGATACAAACCATGAACAAAGCAGGGAAGCACAAAGGGCCACAGGTCCAAAGACTGTTCACACATTTACACTGTTCCTTCTTGTTGGTGAATTATTTCATTGTGCATTTTAGAAACTTATTTCTTTGGGGTCAACACAGAATATAGCTCGCCAATTATAGTTGACTATCCTACTCAGATGGAGGGTTAGAGGGGGAGGTTCCTGTTAGTGGTTGTGAATAAAGGCTAGTCTTGCTGGGTCAGGCTACTGCGATAGGTTTAAAGCCTTTTAAGTGTTTCCAAATGTTCCATTTCCAAAGCAGTAGTAAGTAGCATATATTTTTGTCATGTGGCATGGTCTCTGTCAACAGGAAGGTTGCCACATTCAGTGCAAGAACTAATTCATTAGTACCAGTTTTCCTAAATGGATCAGGGCTAGTTTAATATCCCAATACATTAGCAAAAATAACTATGGAGGGCTGGAAGTGTAATTCAGTGGTAGAACACTTGCTTAACATGTGTAAGCCCCAGATTGTCCCCAGGGGGAAAATCTATGGGTGATGCTTTAGAAACTCTTACTACTTTAAACACTACAACCACTTATCAATTATCTGTGAATAGAGAAGCGAAATCCTCAGGGCTGGGTTAATTTTGGGCAATTCTCTTAAACTTTCCAACTATCCATCTGATAATCTATAAAAATGAGCATAAAATAAATGACCTCTACCTCTAACATAAAATAAAAGACCTGTGCTGTAGAAAACTACAGCACTCTGAAAAAAGAGACTGAAGAGGATAACAGAAAATGGAAAGACATCGCTTGCTCTTGGGCAGGAAGAGCCAATATAGTGAAAATGGCCATACTTCCAAAACTGCTATATAGATTCAATGCAATCCCAATTGAAATCCCAACAGTATATTTCACAGAACTAGAGAAAACAATCCAAAAATTTATTTGGAACCAGAAGAGACCTAGAATAGCTAAAGCAATTCTAGGCAACAGAGATATGGCTGGGGGTATCACAATCCCCAACTTGAAACTATACTACAAAGCTACTATGATAAAACAGCATGGTACTGGCAAAGAAACAGACCTGAGGATCAGTAGAATAAAGTAGAAGATGCAGGCACAACTCCAGACATACTCAGCCACCTCATCTCTGACAAAAGAGCCAAACACCCTCACTGGAGGAAAAATAGCCTCTTTAATAAGTGGTGCTGGAAAAATTGTATTTCAACCTGCCACAGACTAAAACTAGATCCATATCTTTCACTATGCACTAAATTAAAATAGAAGTGGATCAAAGATCTAAATGTTAAAGCAGAAACATGAAACTTGCTGGAAGATAGGTTAAGAACTCTTGAAGACATTGGCATAGGAAAAGACTTTATGAACAAAACCTCAGTAGCATGTGAACTAGCACAAAGAATAAACAACTGGAATATCATCTTATTAAAAAGCTTCTGCACTGCAAGAGAAACCACCAACAGAGCTAAGAGACAACCTACAATGTGGGGGAAAAATTTTACTAGCTTTTCCTCAGAAAAAGGACTATTATCTAGAATAAAGAACTGAAAAAAATCAGAGCCCCCTCCAAATTTAAAGACCCAATTCAAAAATGGGCATCTGAAATAAACAGACATTTCTCACACAAAGAAGTAAAAGCAGCAAATAAACATATGAAAAAATGTTCAACATTACTAGTCATTCAAGAGATGCAGATGAAAACAACACTGAGATTCCACCTCACCCCAGAAAGAATGGCGGCTATCAAGAAATCATCCAATAACAAATCCTGGCAGGTTTGTGGGGAGAAAGGAGCCCTCCTCCATTGTTGGTGTGAGTGCAGACTGGTGCAACCACTGTGGAAATCAGTATGGAGATACTTCAAAGAACTAGGCTTAGAGGTCCCATTTGACCCAGCTATTCCTCTGCTGGGTATCTTCCCAAAAGAATTAAAAGAATCATACCACAGCAATACATGCTGTAGCAGCATAGCTTGTAATAGCTAAAACTTGGAAGCAGCCCAAGTGCCCATCAACTGGAGGCTGGATAAAGAATATGTGGTTTTTTAATAAAATGGAATATTAGTCATAAAGAATGAGAAATTAGAGTCACTTATAGGTAAATGGATGCATATTGAGGCCATCCTCTTAAGTGAAATAAATAGGACACACATGTGTAAATACTGAATAGTTTCTCTGGTGTGAGAAACTGAAAGTGTAAATAAG